CCAGTGACCACTCACTACAGGCAGCAAAGGTTAGTACAACCAGTGCCTGGCCCTGGTGGACGGAAATGGGCCGGGGTAGGTGGCAGTGGTGTGTGTGAAGCACGTGATGAGGTGGGGGAGTGAGGGAAATGGGCTGGGGGAGGCATGGGCCAACTGCGGCTGGAGGTGAGGTGGTGAAGCTCTGCTGGAGGGGTCACGAGCTGAGGCTGCACCAAGTGAGGGGCTGAACCTGGTCACCAGCCCTGACCCTAAGGGGTGCAGGCAGAGGACAGGCAGGAAAAATGGCAGGACATGTCTCCTCCCGCAGGCAGAGGATGTTTTCCCTGGCAGTGACCCTGTGCCAAGCAGGGATGAGCTCGATGCGCTCCTGGGTGAGGTATGGCACTTGCAGGGGGTTGGGGGGGAATCCAACAGGCAGAGTCTGTCCACAGAGGACCAGTTCTCTGGTGCGACCCACAGGGTGACGTCAGGCAGTGGGCGAGGTGAGGAGAGCCAGGACACCTCGGGGGGCAGGGAGTAGGATGGAGAGGGAGAGTGACCCCCCAGGCATGTCCCGCAGGGTGCCTGGGACGGGATACTGCAGTGGGCATTCCAGAGCATGGCGCGGCCCCTGGCAGACACCCACAGGATTTCAGCCTAGTGCATGGTGCCCCGATGGCATCCGCACGCAACAGGTGAGCTAAGAGCAGGTTCTGGGGTGGTTGTGCCACAGGAACTATAAGGACATTGTGGCACCATGAAAAAAAGTGGTATCATCAAACAAAGCAACTCCCAAGCAGGTACCCAAACAAGAGAGACACCTGCGAAATGTGGGTTCCTGCCGGTGAATGATGAAAATGTGTATGCACAAGATAAATGAGCAAAAAGAACAGAAAATGGAAAAAAAAAAGACACTTTAGTGAACAGTGAAATAAAAAAGTAAAGTGTAGAGATAAAACCGCTACAGCATCAGCATTATGTCACGAAAAATGGGGAGAGAAAGAGAAGGTATGGAAAATTCCATGGACAGCTCTGGTTATGCTGCCTCCCAGCTTTGGCTGCACATGCACAATGGAAAGACAATGGAAGATGAAAGGACGCAGAATTATTAATAATAATGAAGAAAAAAGTATATATACAGAATTTAATTAAAAACACTGTTGTAGAGATCAAAGAGCTCTTCTAGAAAAAACATGAAAAACTAGATCTCTATCAACAACAAAAGAAAAAAAAAACCCCGTGCCCCGAAAAATATGGAAAATCAATATATGGAGAAAACAATGAACTAAAAAACCCCTAAACCACACGGTATTCCAGCAGTCTCCCATTCAAGTACTAATGAGGCCGAACCCTGCTTTGCTTCTGAGATAAGACAAGATCAGGTGTTCTCAGGGTGGCATGGCCATGGGAAGCCACTGTCCCGCCAACAGCCCTCTCATGATACCACCACTCGAACTGGACATAAAGCAAAAGACGGGCCCACTTCCTCTGGCAACACCAAAACGAGGACTCGCACCTACACCCGTACTGAGCACACACACCCAACACACCCTAGTACCCGCAACATCCATCTTGCCTCACCGACAACGCCCTCCCACC